AAGATTCACAAAATGTTTAGGGGTATGCGTACCCCCAGAAAAAAAGCACTGGACAAAACCATGATTAGTTTTGGGAAATTCTTTGGCAATCCTCATAGAACTCTAGCCCAATGGTTGCCATTAATTTAATTCTGAATTGATTTTAGAATGAATTGATTTTAGAAAGTATTTCAATTAATTTATTGTGATTTTATGTAAACTGTGTTACTTTTACTGTTGTTAGCTGCTCTGAGCCCAGCTTCAGCTGGGGAGGGCGGGATATAAATATTTATTATTATTTTTATTATAGTTGCCTCTGCCTTGTTGGCTCTGGATTCCCAGGCTGTTGGTCTTCATGTCTTCTACCCTACGAGCTAAAATGGACACCTGCCAGTGCTGAGTGGAGCTAATAGCTCTGGGGCAGAGGTATGAGAAAGACTGGAATAACATTTTTCGGGAAGACTTGAGCAGTGCTACCACTTCTGTCAAAGTCAGAGCCTCTCATGTCCGCTTCAGTTTTTAAAAAAGTAATTCTAAAGCACGTCTGTTCCAGTTAGTCCTTCAGATCAGTACAGTGGTACCTCAGGTTAAGTTCTTAATTCGTTCCGGAGGTCCGTACTTAACCTGAAACTGCTCTTAACCTGAAGCACCACTTTAGCTAATGGGGCCTCCTGCTGCTGCCGCACCGTCGGAGCACGATTTCTGTTCTCATCCTGAAGCAAAGTTCTTAACCTGAAGCACTATTTCTGGATCAGCAGAGTCTGTAACCTGAAGCGTATGTAACCCGAGGTACCACTGTATTATTATCACTGCATCTAGTGATATTTTGTTTAGTGATTTTATATACTTGACAAAATTTGCTCTGCAATATTTTTCTACTTTATTTTTTCACTGTCTTCTGACAGCTCCCCAGGAGTCTTGAACACAGAACTTGGAAAATAATTTTTTTTATCTCTGTGCCAAGCAGAAGTTTGGAAAGGTCTGTTCTTTGTGTGAAAAAGAAGATCTTTGCAATTCTTACACTGGTGGATTACAACTCCCATTACATCCTGTGTCTTAAACACAGAGCTTGTAAAATAAAGTGTGTATGTGTATGTGTGTTTCTGTTTAAAGTAGAGGCTGGGGAAGTTGTTTTGTCCTGACTTCACACTTCTGCCAGATTGCTTCATATGCCAGTCAGGTGATCTAGAAGGTTGATGTTAATGTTATGTATAAATTCTTACATGTATTTTCTTGGGGGTGGTGGTTCTGAACAAACAATAATGTCTTGTCTAATGGCAAAAGCTGTGGGTGGTGATGTTTGTAGGTAGTGATGTCAAAAGGAAACTGAATGCATAGAGTACTGAATCATTAACTGTTTGCATCATTAACTGTTCACAAGAGCAGTTCACAACAGTGATTGTCGCCATCTAAAATCCTCATACTAGGCTCCTCTCTTCCTGCAATAGTGTTCACATGAGCTGCCTGGCCTGAGGGCACTTAAACCTTGTTGGCCAGAAACAAATACAGTGGTACCTCGGGTTAAGTACTTAATTCGTTCCCGAGGTCCGTTCTTAACCTGAAACTGTTCTTAACCAGAAGCACCACTTTAGCTAAGGAGGCCTCCTACTGCTGCTGTGCCACCGGAGCCCAATTTCTGTTCTCATCCTGAAGCAAAGTTCTTAACTTGAAGCACTATTTCTGGGTTAGCGGAGTCTGTAACCTGAAGCGTATGAAACCTGAGGTACCACTGTAGTCTAAATTCAATGTTCACTACCCAGGTTCCCTAAGCACATGAGAAGGAATGCTCCCCTTACTTCAGCTGGACCTGGGAACAGCCCTTTGAGCTAAAGTTTCTATCAACCAGCGACAAACTTTCTCATTTGTTAGACTTCCAGTTCTTCCGTTGAATGATATGCTCTCAGAGACTGTGATTAATGTTACAGATAGGTAGCCGTGTTGGTCTGCCATAGTCAAAACAAAAAAATTCCTTCCAGTAGCACCTTAAAGACCAACTAAGTTAGTTCTTGGTATGAGCTTTCGTGTGCATGCACACTTCTTCAGATACACTGAAACAGAAGTTGCCAGATCCTTCTATATAGTGAGAAGGTGGGGAGGGGTATTACTCAGAAGGGTGGTGGGAATGGGTGATTGGCAGATAGCTGAGATGAGCCTGTTGACGACTCTTAACGACTGCAATAGGTCTTACAGGAAAAATCAAGGGGTGAGAAGGTGAAAAATGGCTTTGTCATGTATAATGAGATAAGAATCCAATGTCTTTGTTCAGACCAGGTCTCTCCATGGTTTTAAGTTTGGTAATGAGTTGTAATTCAGCAGCTTCTCTTTCCAGTCTATTTCTGAAATTCCTTTGTAGTAAAACAGCTACTTTGAGATCTTGTATAGAATGTCCTGGGAGATTGAAGTGTTCTCCTACTGGTTCTCTGTCTTGTGATTCTTGATGTCAGATTTGTGTCCGTTTATTCTTTGGCGTAAGGTTTGGCCTGTTTCTCCAATGTAGAGAGCTGAAGGACACTGTTGGCATTTGATGGCATACACAATGTTAGACGATGAGCAATTAAATAGTCCCAAGATGGTATGTGTGATGTTGTTGGGGCCAGTAATGGTGTTGTCCGGGTGTATGTGGCAGCAAAGTTGGCATCTGGGTTTATTGCAGACTTAACACGGACACTGGCACCAGAGCTTGCAATAAACCCAGATGCCAACTTTGCTGTCAACAGGCTCATCTCAGCTATCTGCCAATCACCCATTCCCACCACCCTTCTGAGTAATACCCCTCCCCGCCTTCTCACTATATAGAAGGATCTGGCAACTTCTGTTTCAGTGTATCTGAAGAAGTGTGCATGCACACGAAAGCTCATACCAAGAACTAACTTAGTTGGTCTTTAAGGTGCTACTGGAAGGAATTTTTTTGTTGTGATTAATGTGTCATGCTTACTTACCTCACTGGCCTTGCCCCATGTGCGGCACTCCCCTAGTTCTCAGCATAGCTGTCAACGTTTCCCATTTTTAAAGGGAAATTCCCTAATTCCAAATAGGATTCCTCGCAAGAAAAGGGAAAAGGTGACAGCTATGGGTCTCAGGTTGGGGCCCTGAAATATCAAGGTATGGGGATGCTCCTGATCTGGCAAACCTAGAGAGGACTATGTCACGATATGTACTACAAACTATTAGAAAGTAATCCATTTTACACTGGGGGTTTTTTTTTAGTGGCATATTGCTGCTACATCAAAGATAGCATACTTTTGAGGAAGTGGGGGGGGGGTAAGGAATGATGGGTTTATTTAGAAAGCAGGTTCTGATCCTTGCATCTTGGAATGTTAAATCCCAAAATGCTTTACAAACGTTTGTATTTCTTCTCACTGTTATGAAGGGTTGCACCCATTTGGTTTATTTATTTAACAAAATTTGCATACTGCTTAATCATAAAGCCTGTTTTTTAAATCAGCACAGCAGATAGGCAATTGCTCCTGGCTTCTATTTCCTCCTAGAGCTCAACCTGGCTCATTCTCTGACCATGCAGATTATAGTATAGCTGGATAAAAGGGGAAGGAAAGCCACATCCTTCCTGCTTATGCCTTCCTCTCTGCCAGTCATCCCTGGTTTACACTGATGGGCTGCAGCTGTTTGCAGTTTCAGACAAGGCCTTTGCTGTGCCTACTCAGAGATGCCAGGAATTGAACCTGGACTTACGGGGTGCAAAGCAGTTGCATTGTTACTGAACTCTACGGTCCTGGCTATGGCTCTTTCTCTTGACTGGGGAGCATCTCTGCCTGGGGGAGAAATGGGTTTACCCTATCTCTACCTTCATAGGATAATGTAAACACTTTCCTCCCTCTTGTGATAGGAATTTTATGGTCTTAGATATATGGTAATGTTCATAACTGCACATACATAGATCAACACAGGAAGACCAACCTGGAACCATTTTGATTCCTAAACTGAGCAAATCCTTTCTCTGCAAGGTTAAACTGGAAAAGCCTCCCCATTGTCTCTTTCCTCACAAATCCTGTCTCAAGGATATGTCTGTTTGAATAAGGTGTGAGCCTCTGACCTGGCCCAGGAAATAAGTATTTTACCACTACAATAGAATGGCCAGGCTCCCCAGGCAATCCAATCAAGTAACTTGCCAGACAGGAGATAAACTGTGACAGGAGAAAAACAACATTTAAATTTCTGTGATGTAGGTGGGATGTATCTGAGGGGTGGTCTTAGGTTACACCCCTTCTGTGATGTATGCATAATGTTTCTGGGGGTGGTCTTGATCTAGAGGATGGGAATTTCAAAAGTCTTTATAAGCCATTGCACAGCATTTTTGGGGGTCCTCCTCCTCTCCTGCGTGTGAGGGAGTACCCTGTTGCAACAGATAATAAAGATCAAGCTTACTAGCTGCTTTGCTTCTCAATATTCTCTGGTTGGCCCCTGTTATTTTCTCCTACCAATAGGAAACCTATGTAAGGACTCTATATGGGCTCTTGGATACCCCATAAGGGAAAAGGGCATATTTTTATTTACAACACTCTCCACACTTCATCTTCATCACCACCCCATGAGGGATAGGTTAGGCTGAGGGGTGACGACTGCCTTGTTTGTGGTCACCCACAGAACTCCATGGACCCAAGTCTGGCACTCTAACCACTACCAAAGCAGGCATAGAGCCAAAATGACCATGATAATTTGCGGAGCACAATTTCAGCCAGTGAAAGGCAGCAGGAGGCAGGAGAATGTTTAAAATCTGTAAGCAAAACTAACAAGGCTCCAAAGTTAAAACAAAAAAACAAACATGCCAAGAATTGTTCTGTCTGCTATAGTGATACAGTAAGTGACAAAGAAAGCAGTGACTGAAGCCTCTGTTCACAATGCCCCAATTGTATTCAGCCCTTTTGTCAAAAGCACAGGTAGGATACAATTTGGCAGGTGTACCAGGGATTGCAAAATCCTTTGTCCCTGTTGATCAGATAAGCTCCCTAAAATCTTACTGTGCCATTTTAGCCTTCCACAGAATGAAAACCTTTTCATCTTACCTCAAATGCAGGGTTCCTGTAGCTATTGGCAAAACTCCCATTTTCTTCCCGTATAGCCATTTGTTTCTTCAGGTAGAGCAAGGCTGTTGTTGCTTTAAAAAAAAAAACACTTCTCAAAGCTGTGGCTGTGGTCCTATGCAGCCACCAACAATATCAAGTTAAGCTGTGTGTGCAGTAGTTCTTCTTACTACTAGAAGTTTACCTGACTGTAGCCACGCCCAGGGTTCTTATGCTGAATTCATTGCTCCACCTTCCTGTGTCTCTGAGGAGTCACTCACTCGCACAAACCAGTGTGAAAACCCAAGCTTGTGAAACTTTTGAGATGATGATTAACACATGGCTTTGAACCCAAAAGAGTTTCATATGATTGTTAAATCATTACCCCTCTATAGCCAGGGTTGTAGGTCCCCAGGAAACATTCCATTATGAGCTCCAAAATAAACTGAATACTTGGAATTTTGCTTAGGAGTTCCCAGCGAGAGGGGTTATGGTGGATATGTGCTAAGCTAGAGTCACTGAATTGGGGTGAATGATGATGATAATGATGATATATTTCCTACCCACCCTTCACCACCAGGTTCAATAGCAGGTTCCAACCCTAATCTGTGGGTTGCCATCTGATAGGATTTTATTCTGATCCTGATCTGATTTTAGGATGTATTTTAATTGATTGCCTGGTTTTATGTTAATGTGTTATACATTTGATGTTAGCCACTCTGAGCCTGGTTTTGGCCAGAAAGGGTCGGGGTACAAATAATATATTATTATTATTATTATTATTATTATTATTATTATTATTAACATTTTAGAAAACATTTTAGAAAAACAATATTAAAATAAGTTAAAACAAATTACAGTCAAGAAAATAGGGTGGGTTCTAAAATATATCTCCAGTGTCAAAGGCAGGGTAATGAGGTACATTTTCAGCATATGACAAAAACCCAAATAATGAAGGTGCCACAGAGAATGCCCACTCCCAGGCTGCCATCTCCAGAACCTCTTGACGGTCGTGGAACTACGAAGAGGAACCCCTATACCTACCTGAACACTCAACAAAGTCTGTAGGCACATGTGAGGCTCTGATATGCACTTTCTTGGAGTTTCATCCACACAGAGGTTTCTCTATATGCTTCAGTGTTGGCATCTGCCCAGTGCACAAATGCAGAGGTACCCTGGGCATGTAGAAGACCCACAAACTGTGGCTCCACAGCTGATTACAAAGCAGATGTTGGGGGAAGCATACTTAAGCTTCTATTTGTGCGTTTATTGCACCATATGTTGTGTACTTCTATCAATCAGCATAAACAGTGGGAAACATACATAGGATTGTCACCAATGGAGTATAAAAATGTTTAATATTTACAATATTCTTTGTTACTTCTAAAAATTCAGTGCTAAGAACAATAAATGTGTACAACATACTAAAACTTGTCAAACTTGAGATGGATCCTTTATTATTTCAATTAACAACATAGTGTCTTGTGGCATCTTAAAGGCTAACACATTTTTATGGCGTAAGCTTTTGCAGATGGAGGTTCAGTTCATCAGATGCATGAAATACTATTATGAGTTGCAGGTTTATATACACAGGGCTGGGAGGAAGATCGTAACCCAGGAAAGGGAAAAAATGGAGAAAAGTACACACAGTGACGTTTTAAAGCAATTATTAACACTGGCCATTTGTACATACACAGAGAACCAGCTGTAATAATTAACACAAACAACCAACTAACACATGTGGTGTGGAAAAAAATCCATTGTGGTGATTCAATCCACAAGAGGGAACATTACAATTTCTAACAAATTTTAATTCAGCAGTTTCATGCTGCAGTTTCCCTTTGAAGTTTTTTTATACAATGAGTTACAGGGTGCCCTACGAGGCTGAAATAGTCAGATCCCAGATTTGCACCCATTTATTCCTTTGCATAGAGGCTAGCCTATTTTCCCTGTGAACCGTGCCAAATTACATATTGCATATATTGCATTGGAAAATGAGCCGCTGAATGATCCCCTGATGTTGTGGATGATATAATTAGTAGTGTTTCCAGAGTAGAAATGGGGGTAGCATTGACACATATATCTGCCACAGGCGCTGGTACCTGTGCCCTTATCTCTGTCATGTGCCTTTTTGTTACCGGTGAGTAACTGTTTTGTGTTGGGAGGTTGCCTATAAGCAAGTACAGGCCTGCCGCCTAAGGTGTGTGAGAGGGCAAATGTCATTGTCTTGGCTTGTGGCAATATTGAAAAAAGGATTAAGGGAACATTTCAACCTCCCAAGACACGTTGTCACTAACCTTAAGGTGGAGCAAAGAAACTTCAAGGGGAAACTGCAGTTGCAAAGGCACACACCATAACACACTTGTGCAACATTTCGCTATCAAAACAACAGCCAAGTTCCAGTAACAGAAACTCTGCGTCTCTCCGGAAGACCATTGGAAACAAACAGAAAGCCTTATATTCTGTTATGAAGGTGAAATAAAAAATTTAAGGTGTATATATATATATATATATATATATATATATATATATATATATAATGTTCATAACTGCATATATAAACCACATGTCTGAAACCCCACAGAAAAAGTCCTGAAACCATTTTGTCCCTCCCAAATTGACCTCAAATATTTCTCTGCAAGGTCAAGGAAAATGGAAAAGCCTCCCCATTGTTTTTTCGTTCACAAATCCTGTCTTAAGGGTATGTCTGTGTATGAATAGGGTGAGCCTGTGACCTTGCTCAGGAACTACCAGTAAGTATTTGTCATTACAAAAGGCTGGCCAAGCTCCCCAGGGTATCTAATCAAGTGACCATTAACAGGTAACCTGCCAGACAGGAGATAAACAACGCACTCAGATTTCTGTTGTAGACCGCCTTTTCTGTGATATAGGTATGATGTTTGTGGGGGGTGGTCTTGAGTTACACCCCTTCTGTGATGTATGTATGATATATGGAGGGGTGGTCTTGAGCCCCAGGGAAGGCAATTTAAAATGTCTATATAAGGGCAGGCACACATTTGTTCTGGGTCCTCCTCCTTTCCTGCGTGTGAGGGGAGCACCTTGTTGCAACAGCTCAATAAAGATCAGGCTTACGAGCTGCTTTGCTTCTCAATATTCTCTGGTTGGCCTCTGTTATTTTCTCCAACCGATGGAGAACCTACAAAGGACTCTGTAAGGGCTCTTGTGTTCCCCATAAGGGAATAAGGGCAGATTTTTGTTTATTACAAGGAATTTAGAGAGACCTTGCTAGAGAGCATTTCCTAGGGCTTCAGGGTGATGGCCACAAAGACCTGCTCTGCCTTGCAAAGCCTTATTCTTACGTCTAATGTTTGCGTGTTTGTGGGGGAGGCTTTGTGGCTTTGAGCTGGCTATCCTTCCATAGAGTTCAATGCTTCCACTTGTGACTACTATTCACATACTAAAAGAAGCAATACCAGCGAAACACTGTAATGGTAAGGAAATTCTGTTGATATCATGAGACACTTACAAGTCCTCGTGAACAGTTACAATAGTTGTGTGCTCCTTTACGGCTGTTGGCTTGTGGCCACGCAGTCATTTCCTGGTGTATAGTAATAGGTGTGATTCTTGCTAATGAACGCTTTGGTGCTTGATTATGTAACTATTCCAGAATGAGTCACGCTAAGGTCACAACTTTCATCTGAAGTTGTAGCTGTGTGTCTTCGATACCATCAAGAAGCAAAAGGCAACCAGATCAAGACCCAGGGCATAGATGCTTTTTAAATATATATATATAGAAATGGCAACCCACAGCAGCTAGGAGTGGTGCAGAATGCACACTATGTGCACTAAGATGTTATGAATCTGTGTCTTGCTAATGCTCAGACTCATACAGAATATGCCACAAAGTGACTAGATGAAGGACATGGAACATTAGCCGCTGTGCAGATGTCCTTTTCAGTAAAGTAAAGGTGGCAGCTTGACTTAACAGTGTTTGTAATGAGTGGGCAGCATGCTAAAAACGAGGAAAGATAACTTTGTCTTAAATTTAGGCTCAGGGGGAATCAAAGCACATATTACATGGAGTTCTGCTATTCTTTCCTCCGTATGTTTTTTTAAATAGATCAATTTATTTTAACCATTAACAAAACCAAAAGGCTATAAACGGGGAGTCTGTTTTGCAGCATGTGCAAGACATATATGTGATGGTTGAGATTAAAAAAATACAACCGCTTTCTTCCAACCTTTGATTACTTTGGAGTTTTTCAAGAGGGCTTCTTGTTCAGCTTTCACCCTGATTTGCTTGCATGGAGATTATATGATGCCTGCCCTTTATTGAGGATTTGCTGTCATTTGCCTCACACTTTTTAGTGCAATTCCCCATAACTTTCCTTACCTCTGAAATCCCTTTTTTTAAAAAAAGCAGATCTGTTTCACCAGTGATTTAATACACTCTAATTGAAATAGTGACATTGGGGAGTTAACCTGAGAAAACACAAGGTATTTGATTACATCAAAGGGCATTTTCAAAAGGAATCATGCCAGCTGGGTGGTCTATTATCCTCTGTTTACAAATGAGATAAAGGAAAGCCTTACGCCTCAAAGGTTCCACTTTTGACTAAATCTTTGGTGCAAATGTGGTCACTGCCTCTTATTCAGTGTAGGACATAACCAAACCAAAGAGTTTTTGTAGCTTACATTATTTTTATTCATTGGATTTATATCCCACCCTTTTTCGTGTTTGAGCCCAGAGTGGCATTAATGGGACAATTCTCAGTCTGTATAAACTAAGTTTTATTAAGTCCTGTCCTCACCTTATTCTATAAGCATCAGTGACTACTTGAGAGCTACAGGGGCAATTTGGTCCTTTTGCATAAGACTTGGGTATGTTAATTTCTTGCTATGAGCATCACCACCAGCACTAAGCCCGCTGAAGGCTGCCCCCACCGCTGCAAGGCCCGGGCCCTCAAGATGGGGGGGGGAGGGGCTCAGCCCCATCCCAACAGATGTGTGTGTGTGTGTGTGAAAAGACACACCAGTCCTATAGAATTGGTACCTATGCCTGGAAATGCTGACTACTAGCTAAATTACACATGAGAAACACAAAAACTTTGATGAAATCTCCCACCATTTTTAATTTTTTAAGATAAATGTAGCTGCAGGAGGAATTGGGCTGGGGCTACAGCGTGGGAACAGGGGAGCTAAACCTCCACCCAAAATACCATTTTCCCCAATTTAAATTGCCCCTCAGCTGTCATTTGCCTCACTGAAGACAACATACA